CGTGAGAACATTAGAAATGGCGAAGACGAAGGCCAGGTCAAGTGCGCTGTCTGCAGAGGCACGTTAGACCCGACGAACATCATCACCTTTTCAGCTTTCAAGAAGGTCTACATGCCTGATGAAGCTGCTAGCGGAAGCTCTGAGGATGAAGAGTCTGAAGGCTCCGTTTGGAGTAGCGATGATGATGAGGAAGAAGAAGAGGAGCAAGACGATGCCGATGCAGATGACGCCGACAAGAACGGCGATCTCAAAGGCTTCGTCGTTCCTGATGCTTACGCTAACATTAGTGATGATGAGGACGAGCTGTCAGGGTCTCTAGCGCCAAAGCCCAAGGCGACCGAGCCCAAGAAGAGGAAGTCAAAGGGCAAAATGAAGGCTGCAAAGTCTTCAAGTAAGGAGTCGAAGAAGAGACTGAAGAAGATTAAGGGCAGCCAGTTGGCAACGCTTCGAAAGAATGCCAAGAAGAATGCTGGTGCCTGGCAGGACTACACAAAGTACCTGAGTCACCATTGGCTTGCTTCATCCAAGACAAGAGCTTGTGTGGAACTTCTCAAGAAGATTCAGGAGACAGGCGAGAAGACAATCATTTTCTCCCAGTGGACTATGCTGCTGGATCTTTTGCAGGTCGCGATCAGAAAGCAAGGTCTAAACATCAAGCATTGCCGCTACACAGGAGAGATGTCGATGGCGCAGCGTGATGACACTGCTTTCACTTTCTCGAACGACCCGAGCATGAAGGTCATGATGGTGTCGCTGCGCGCCGGAAACGCTGGTCTCAACCTCGTCGCGGCTTCGCAGGTCATCATTATGGATCCTTTCTGGAATCCGTACATTGAGATGCAAGCCGTTGATAGAGCTCACCGCATTGGCCAGCAGAAGCCTGTGAAGGTGCACCGAATTCTGACTCAACAAACGGTTGAAGATCGTATCGTCCAGCTTCAGGAGAAGAAAAGGGCGACGGTGGATGCAGCTTTGGACGAGCGTGAGGGTGCGAAGTTGGCTGGCCTCAGCATGACTGAACTGCGTTTTCTTTTCAATCTTTGAGAGAGGATTGACCGATCTACATTCGATTTCACAATCCAGTTCCCAGTCTCGTTTGTGGAGGTTCACAACACAATCTCTGACTATCTGGATCGGAAGTCAATTTCTTCTGTGACTTTTTTGCACCAGATCTCGTTCTTTCTACGAGGCGGAGGAGGCATTTTTCTAATCAATGGTCTTGGGGGAGGTATTACGAATCGTTTACGACTGGCATTTTATTGCATCCGCATCACTACGGTGAACAGGAAACAAGGCAAGGGGGAAAGTATACCCATGACGAAGACATGGGCACAGAAGATAGGCTTCACAGCCAACACCACGGAAATGTGACTAGGATGGGAAAGGGGGGGGGGGGGGGAGATATTTCCTCCGGTCACCTCATCTTCTTTTTCTTTTCTTTTGTTGTCACAAATCCCATGAGGCGTCTAGGGTACAGGTACAGGGCCAGGGCTAGGCTCAGGACGATACAGCTGCCTTTCGGTATGCGAAGTTCGTTCACGGAAACAGGAAGGATCGCTAGATCGACAGAGATCACCAATACTATTGCTCATCATGAATTATGTGTGACCCTGCAATAAATATGTGCGTGATGTATCCAGGCTGGTATCAACGGTCCCGTTGATCAACGACACGGGGTCGCTCCTCAATTGTGAAGGCTAGCCCAGTAACAAGGCTGGCAGAAGTAGAGAAGCATCCTGATAATTATCGAGTATGTTGTAAACGACTGTTGTTATTGATGACAGCGGGCGGAGCTGACCACCCTACCTTGGCCTCGTTACCACCATGCATCCTTTAGCTAACTAACCCTCCTGGCATGGATAGATGACGAGACTACTAGAAACCGGGCAATATAGTTCCGTCGAGAAATGAGCCTCCCCAATGATCCCGAAGCACGAAGAGGCGCTTCTCATTCGCTTCATTCGTTCTTTTCGCTGTTGAGGAACCAAGCCTTGACCTCCTCCCTACATAGGCGGACCAGGGTAGTCTCCTAAACCTCTCTGGACTGGACAACAGCGGCGACGATGTCACTGACATGAGGCTGCGACGACGATAACGACGGGTCGCCACCAGCCGCCCAAGACCAGCGCTGCAGGAGAGGCTTATCTCCCGCGCGCCAGGCGGCGCCAATCTGCAGCGTTGGCCGGCTCTCGGGGCCGCTGTTGAGGATATCGAAGCGGATCTCGCGCGTTTCCGTATCGATATCGCGGATGGCGGTACCGCGGACGGACTTGATCCACTCCGCCGGGGCGGGTTCCGAAGGGGGCGTAGACGGGTTGGACGGCTGCTGCGGCGGGGGGATAAGGGACATTGCATGGTCTGTGAGTGCGTGGGCCGCTGCGTTTGTGATGTAGAGCTGGACGGAGGCGATGTCTGGGTACGGGTCGCGAGAGGGAGGGTAGGAGGATTGCAGGGTGTTTGGCGGCGGCGCGGGTGGTTGCTCGCCGTTTGACGGTTCGCTTCCTGCTGCTGCTGTCGCTGCTGCAACGTTGGGAAGAAGTTGGAGTTGGAATTGTGTTGTTGTCAGTGGGAGAAGGAATGTGCGGCCGCGGATCTGGAGGCGAGAGGTCGGGGTCAGGGTCAGCTCGATCTGGAAGTCTGCCGGGGATGTGAGCATGTTTGTGAGTGCTTGTGAGGCGTTGGGCCGGTTGGAGGCACCGCCCGACGTGTTTTTCAGCTCGGCCGTCGGGAAGGGAGGGGTGTTGAGGGTGAAGGAGGCGGCATCGACCCCGGCTTGTCGTAGCACGCGGGTGAGGTCGCCGGCGAAACTGGTGACTTGCTCGACGGAGCGGTCGTAGAGAATCTTGGCGATGATGGGTCTGAGGAGGTGGTACTGGTTTTGTGTTTGGTTGCGACGTTGGTGAGGGGGCGTTGGCCGCAGTCGTTGTAGCTCGTTTAGGCGATGAGCGTGGCTGAGGATGATGTGTAGACCGAGATGTGTTGCTTCGGCAAGGACGTTGTCGGGCGATGCGCCGACGGTGGCGGCGCTATCCTCCAGAGTTTCGAGCTCCAGCGTCAAACTTGGTCCTGAGCTGGGGTGGAAGTTGATGGAGTTGTTATCCGCGCGGACCCCGTACGAGGCGAGGGAGTGTGCTTCACGATGAAGCTCATGCCAGAGCTCTTGTGCAAAGATGGTATTGCGGGCTTCGAGGACGCGATCTGGTAGCAAGGCCGAGTCCGGTACGGAGGCCCCAACAGCAAGACGGCCGCTCGGCTCGCCCGATCTGCTTACGGTGATGGCGAGGCGTTGACAGCCGGAACCGACGCGGCCGTGCTGGAGAAGCGCCGAGCCGTCATCTCCGCGTCGCAATGGCGCGAGACTGCTATTCCTGAATTCAGGTGATGCTATGCATGGTCAGCTTTGTCCGATACTCGAGGAGGGGACGGAGTCACCTGCCTTCTGAGAATCCGAATCTGACGCCAAGCGTATGTCGTTCCGCAGGCAGCCTGCACATAGACCATCCCGCCTGGTGTACTGACAGCACCTCGCCCCAATACTTTGCTTCACGCTCCACTTCCCTGCTCAAGTGGGTTGCCGCTTTGTCGGCCGACTCCTTTGTCTTTTCGATGTCGAGCAAAGCCAAACCCAGAGACACGTCGCGGTTGTCCTTTGCCTTCTCGGCATCCCTTTGCTTCTGTTCTTCGTTGTCTTCGCGCTTCGCAATACCGAGGGTTCCTATGCCGGTCCAGTCACGCAATTGCTGAGAGAGTGTGACACCTGCCTGAGCAGGGCTTTCTTTCGAGAGTAATAATGAGACGAAGTCGAGAGTCATTAAAGCCGCGTTTTGCGCGGTACTGACGACGCACTGTTAGCCAAGAATTTCCGGGAAAATGACGTTTCTCTGGGAGTACCAACTCAATATTCCTCAGCACTTCCATCCTCGCGGCGCCGGCATCTGGTGGTTCCTCGTCCTCCTCGTCTCCCTCGGCCATTGTCGTGTCTTCCTCCTTCACCTCGCCGACGCCATTTTTCTTGTTCTCGACCTCCTCCTTTAGACTTTCCTCGGTGACGTTTCGGAAGCCACGCTCCGCCTGTACGCGGGCAATGAACTCGCCGAGGCTCTTTGGTTTGCGATCGCCTGTGGGTACGGGGTGGAGGGAAGAGAAGGGCATGGAGCTGCCCGACGCCATGGCGGGCAATTCGGGGTCGCGCGTCGATCTTGAATGGGTGTGTTCAGAGATTCGGAGGCTGTGGAATCAGGAAACTATAATGCGCAGGACGGCTGCATGGCGTGGAAGGGAATTTGCGTCGCGGATGGTGGTAAGGCTGTAGTGCAAGGCTGGTGGTTGAATGAGAGCAAGAGCTATGGATTGGTTGGAGCCACCGAGCCGGTCTAAGCTCCACCGAGCGACCAAAGGGTGCGCATTTTCGGTGAAGCTACCAACTCACCGAGCATGACCGAGTTTAACTCACTGCCAGTTAACCGTGTCGGCCACACCTCTCGAATTTAAATCAGACTCACAGAAAAAAATCCATAGTCTCCTGATTCAGCTACAAATTGCACTTAGTGGGATGCGCCAAGATCTAAGGTGCCTGATGTCATCGCATAGGCTTGCGAGCAGTCATGAGAATACTCAATATCATCGCTTGGTCTAAGAGAGAACTGATCGGACAAAGGGACCTCGGAATCTCATGGCAGATTCATTGCAAAGTAACTAGTCTGTAGGTATACGACGGGAAGATCGGAAGCAGGTCATCTCGGCATTCGTGCGCGACCGTGGTTCGGCTTTCTCGGGGGTGATCCAACTGATCTGGAAGCTTAACTCAGATATCGCTGCCAAATAGAGACGCTGCATCGAGGACTCTAGCATGACTTGTGCTGTGTAAGTGTGTGCGATCACCGTCGACTCAGTCTGACTGACGACCGGCAATTCTGAGTCGACGAACACGACGATGAGGCTTAACTCAATGCGGGCTATGCCAGACCGGCAACTCCACACCTGATGACGTCCAGCTCACAATGTTCAGGGCTGGAAAACATCAAAGTGAAGTGAAGTTGGTCTTGCGTGATTCCGGATTGTTTACAGCTCAAAGTCCTCATGATCTTACCACGTATTCAGCGGTGACGTTGGTCGCGATGAAAGAAATGCAAGGTTCGGCGGAAGTGTTGAATAATGAGGCCGAGATATCTCGAGTTCGCCTTGATGATATCGTGGTGTCTGGTTGCACCACTTTGGCTGAGTATAGATATCGGACGACTTATGAGTTGATATGTTGATCTGAAAGATTCACCGTCGTCGCCGTCGCCGGGACTTCGGAGGTTAATCCTTGCATCCCTGTGAGAGACGGGACCTCCACTGTGAACGAGTCACTGGCTGATGGACCAACTGAGGAAAGTAATGAATGTAGTTTGGGTGTTCACATAGAGCTAGAGGTACAGGCGCGCAGCCTAGATAAAGCAGCATGGAGCGCTCTCACGAGTAAGCGGGCATATGGGGAATGGGCCAGGTATGTCTAGACCATGACATGCGAAAGTATATTTCTCTGCGTAGTATTGTGTTGTTGATTTTAATAAAAAGAGGCGTGCAGACAAACCAGCACCCACCTCATGGATTGCCTGACATTCTCATCGAGTTCTTGCACCGGCCGTCGGCCAGCCCCGCACTGGAGCTCGATGGAGGGGCAATTGGAAAGGATCCATTGGTAAGTTGGTGCAAGTCTGGACCTGGCAACTCAGGTGGATTTTGGTGCGACTTGTGCAAGGAGCCCAGAATAAGCCCGAGATGGGACGCTGGAAGAGGCCGACTGAACCTTGCTTGGTGGTTTAAACCCCTCACCGGCGACCGGAGTAAGAGCGAGAAAAAAACACACGAAGGAGACCAGTCACCAGTCAGTCGACGGATTGAGACTCCAGTTGCAATATTCCCAGTATTTCCCTCACTCACCAATGGGTGTAGCGCGAAATAGCTTGACACACTGCTATTGTCGCAGCAAATGAGCGATTAAGCCAGCCATCCCGAGTTAGGTGGACAGACAGCACCATTGTAGACGGTTGCGGTTGGAGAAGCTTCTGCAACACATCGCTGATCGACTACCCGCAGCAGGTTCAGCTGAAGAAACACGTCGAGTAAGTAATACCTAGGTAGTCCGCTGTGACCGGGCTGGCCAGTAAGACCGTTGCATCGTTCCTGATTCAGCAACGTGAACGGTTTTCCATAGGCTCGCTGTGACACCGGTGCCCTGCTCCTGTGACGATGCTGTGCGGCCTCTGCGGCTTTTGGACTGTTTTATTTCTGTGAGGTGGGCTTGGCTGACCTGAAGCTCCCCCGCGCCAAGATAAGGAGCCGATAAGAGCTGGGCGGGCTGTTTTGGAGGGCACTCAACGTCACTGCGCGGGCTCGCTGTTGGGGGAGGATGGAGGGGTCGAATCATGGGTGGATTACCTCGAGGTAAGTACCAGGTAGGGAACCTACGTTTGGTGAGCTGAGGTCCAGTGAGGTAAGGTAACTTTCCAGGTTAAGGCATCTGACCCCCCGTTCCGAGTGTGATTTTTCTGCTATTTTTTCGAGGTGCGGGTGCTTCAAAGTGGCTCCGGCGAACTTGGTCCCCCGCCATTAAACCTGTCTGGTCGTCTTTTGCGCAGTGCGAAGCGTGCGGTGTCCCACGCTATAATTATCTGGCACACCAGACGGCCTTTTTTTCTGCGGCGTCCCCCTCCAAGCCCGGCCAAGTGTGTCTCGCAGCTTCCCCCCTCGACCTATTCCTGTTCCACGTCCAAGCTCCAACCACCACACAGCTTCTTCCAAGCACTTGGCGCCTGCCTCGTCTCGCCTGGAACTTCATGATCTTTTCCTCTCTCACTCTCCCTCCCTCCTCCATCTTCTCTGCCTCACATTCCTATTGCCTCTCCCTCCCTGATTCCGCACACGGCCGGCTAGCTCGTACCATCATCCCTTGAACATCTTACCTCCAGCTCCGTAGAGTATCCCCTCCACGCCAAATCTCGACCGACGGACCTTTAGACCCTGTATACGGTCACCTCCGCCCTCCTCCGCCTCCCTCCCCCCATTGACTCCGAGGCCTCGACAACCTACGAACATCACCACCACAGCTACTCTCCGCCGCAGCCATGGCTCCCACAGCTGCCAAGAAGAAGATTGCCATCATGACCTCGGGAGGTGACTCCCCAGGCATGAACGGTGTCGTCCGCGCCGTAGTCCGAACCGCGCTTCACATGGGATGTGAACCCTACTGCATCTACGACGGATACGAAGGCTTGGTAGTAGGCGGAGACCAGATCAAAAAGGCGGAATGGGGTGATGTGCGCAACTATCTTGGCCAGGGCGGTACTCTGATTGGAACCCGCCGCTGCATGGCCTTTTACGAACGACCCGGTCGTTTGACTGCTGCCAAGAACATGATTCTCAACGGAATTGATGCCTTGATTATTTGCGGTGGTGACGGTTCCCTCACTGGTGCTGACAAGTTCCGCGCCGAATGGCCTTCCTTGATTGAGGAGCTCGTCTCCTCCGGCCAGCTCAAGAAGGAGCAGGTTGACCCCTACAGACACCTCAACATTGTTGGTTTGGTTGGATCAATCGACAATGACATGTCAGGTACCGATGCCACCATTGGATGTTACTCTGCCCTCGAGCGCATCTGCGAAATGGTCGACTACATTGAAGCCACGGCCTCGTCCCATTCGAGAGCTTTCGTTATCGAGGTCATGGGCCGCCATTGCGGCTGGCTGGCTCTCATGGCCGGCGTTGCGACAGGTGCCGACTTTATCTTCATCCCTGAAAAGCCTAGGGAGGAGAACTGGGAGGAAGAAATGTGTGATATTGTGAAGAGAGTAAGACCAGAAAACCTAGCACTAATAGTAGTCAAGACGACGCTGACAGGATGTAGCACCGAAGCTTTGGAAAGCGCAAGACCATCGTCATCATTGCCGAGGGCGCCAACGACAGCAACGGCAAGAAGATCACATCCGAAATGGTCAAGGACCTGCTCGCAGACAAGAACGGGCTTGCTCTGGACACCCGCATCACAACCCTCGGTCACGTTCAGCGTGGCGGTACGGCCGTCGCCTACGACAGAATGCTGGCTACCCTCCAGGGTGTAGAGGCCGTCAAGGCCGTTCTGGAAGCCACTCCCGAGACCGAGACCTGCTTCATCGCCATCAACGAAAACCAAATCTGCCGCAAGCCACTGATGCAGGCTGTCAAGGATACCAAGGAGGTTGCAAAGGCGGTTGACGAGAAGCAGTTCGAAAAGGCAATGGGCCTCCGTGACACTGAGTTTGCCGAGATGTTCAGCTCTTACATGATGACCACAAACGTCAGAGTGGATGACCACCATCTGCCGGAGAAGGAGGTTTGTCAATTGAGCTTCGATTACAAGAGAAAACGGGAAACTAACAATTTCGCAGAGAATGAAGATTGGCTTCATCAATGTTGGCGCACCTGCTGGTGGTATGAACGCTGCTGTGCGCGCTGGTGTTGCTTACTGTCTTTCGCGCGGCCATGAACCCGTCGCCATTCACAATGGCTTTGCCGGATTCGCTAGGCATCATGGCGATAAGCCCGTCGGTGCCGTGCGACCTTTCGACTGGCTTGAGGTTGACAGCTGGGCCAGCAAGGGAGGATCGGAAATCGGTACCAACCGAGAACTTCCTGCAGAGTCGGGCATGGAGCTCATTGCCAATCTGATTGAAAAGTACGAGTTTGATGGCTTGTTCCTCGTCGGTGGTTTCGAAGCCTATCACGCCGTTTCGCAACTGCGCAAGGCCAGAGAGCTCTACCCCTCTCTGTGCATTCCCATGGTTCTCCTGCCAGCTACGATTTCCAACAACGTTCCTGGATCAGAATACTCTCTTGGTTCCGATACTTGCTTGAACGAGCTTGTGCAGTACTGCGACAAGATCAAGCAGTCCGCTTCCGCCACGCGTCGCCGCGTGTTTGTCGTTGAGACACAAGGTGGCAAGTCTGGATACATCGCGACTCTTGCCGGTCTCAGCGTCGGCGCGAGCGCTGTTTACACGCCAGAGGAGGGCATGGACCTCGAGATGCTGGCCGCTGACGTTCGCCATCTCCGTGAAATTTTCTCCAAGGATAAGGGCCAGTCGTCATCTGGACGCTTGATCCTCATCAACGAGAAGGCTGACGATGTGTTCAACGCCAAGCTCATCGCAGACATCATCCGCAAGGAGGCACGCGGCCGATTCGAATCTCGCGACAGTATCCCCGGACACGTCCAGCAGGGTGGCGTTCCTTCGCCCATGGACAGATGTCGTGCCGTCAGACTGGCGATCAAGTGCATGCAGCACCTCGAGGAGTTCCGTCCCAAGTCGCATAACAGGTGTAAGAGGGACCCCATGAGCGCCTCTGTCATTGGTATCAAGGGTGCCAGCGTCACATTTACGCCCATTTGGGATCTCGAGGACCACGAGACGGACTGGAAGAACCGTCGGCCCAAGAACGTTCACTGGGCGCACATGGGCGATGTGGTCAACATGTTGTCCGGCAGACCTCTCCACCACACACCGGAAAAGCCAATCACCGGCCTCAAGGCAAAGGACGTCAAGAGAGGCCTTGACGATTGAGAGTCACCGCAAGAGGCAATTGGCAAGGTGCAAGCGAATAAGCGCTACTTTAATACAAGGAGAAAAAAACTAAATACAATGGGAAAGGAAAGGGTGCTACTTGATTCAAGCTGGGGAGATGTGGCGCGTCGGGGTTTGGCTTTGATTATTACCTAGGGAAACTTGATGAAATGCATTTTCTATTAGACTAGACGATATCGCTTCCCTCTCCCCGCACTGCATGGCCCGTGAGACTGGCTGGAGTGGGATTTTGAACTTTTCCGTCTTCAAGGTGACCCGGTCGTCAGGCCCTCTCGACCTTGTAACCTTGCTACCGTGGTAAAGCGAAAGAGTATCGAACCCGTTTCGGGGCAACATCTCCGACCCTAGGAACCTTGGTCTAGAACCTCACAGCCGTCCAGACTCTAGTCACTAGTAATAGTCTCAACGGCCGCCCATCCCAAGTCCGAGGCGTGGAGAATCAGTCCGAGAGATTGTGGGTGCCGTGCAGGTACAGATGAAAGCGTATTCCACGCTTCGTACGGATAGATAGGTACAAAACGAGAATTGTTTATAGACAAAACGGGATTATGGATGGCGAACGGATATGGCTCGGTTCGGATGAACTATGAGCCCTTTCCATCCGCACTTCTCGTCCCATTTCCCATGTGTCCCCCCATGCTCTCGGATCCCGGAACCTGGAAGCCTCGCAATGGCGAACTTTCAAGATGTGTGCTGAATCCTGCGAGTGGTTTCTTCATCGAGCCAGTTACGTACTGATCGAGGTTTGGCTCACGGGCGATCTTGGGTCATGATAGCCTATCTATCCGCTTACCTTTTATCCGAACACAGTCCGAATCGTCATCTCAAAGAACCATTGATCTCCCGGAGCCGGGGGAAACCAGGTTATACACCGTTGTAGGCTACGGGTTAACGTTGGCCACATGGCGACGGGAGTCAGTGGCCCGAGGCTCCAATGGACCTCACTCACAGTCTCACGCACACCTCTTCCCCCCCCCCCCCCCCCTTTGGAAACGAACGAGGGGAAATCCTTCCCGTTTGGAAAGTGGCTGAAATCCGGATGGCACAATAGATAAGCTTACCTGGGTAAGTTAGTGAATGCTGCGCTGGGCTGATGTCAGAAGAAGAGTGACAAGGGGCGGTTGGTATTGATGTGATGTGAAGTGATTTCACTGGCCCCTTATTCAATGAGCATCAATCAGCCGCTGCTGAGCGCGTAGCGGTCCATCTCTGACCATGGAATTGCCAAAGTGGTCAGAGGAGTTTCCGGTTTTCAGTCAGAATAGACGAGAACGCTGAGGATCTGGAGGTGAGCAAAAAGAAGCAAAGATAGTCTCTACTTCGCCCCTCTCACCAGTGAACAATC